CCGTCATTGTTGTTTGGCGGGTCCGGGCTGGGGATTCGAACCCGCCACCTTAGGTGTACGTGGCTGGCGCCTTAGCCGGTTGAGCTATAGGCGTCGAGCCTAGTATCTTTCTTAAGATCACAGAAATGAACAGTTGGATGTTTTTCTTTTTTTTCTTTCAGCAATGAATGGAGAGTGTTTTCTGGCAATGAGTTGGGGGCCCTCCTGGGTTGGTGGCTCTTTACTTCCTGGAAAGAAAAGAACCAGGACCGCAGTGCCCTCAAAGACACATACATGTTATCCAGCACTGTCTCCTCCAAAATCCTGCGGGCCATCGCCTTAAAGGAGGGTTTTCACTTTGAGGTGAGGTGTTCGTGGCCTTGCTCATTTTCCATTCATTTGCTCTGTAGAAGGTGTAAGGCATTGCTTAATTCTTTTGGATTATTCCTCAGGAAACATTAACTGGCTTTAAGTGGATGGGAAACAGAGCCAAACAGCTAATAGACCAGGGGAAAACCGTCTTATTTGCCTTTGAAGAAGCTATAGGTAAGAAAATGAGGATCATAACATCTGTTAATATGCAGAGTGTACGTAAATGAGAAAAAGGTTTGGATTTCAGTTTAGAAGATCCACAGTGTAACAGGAACACTCAATTTACTTTGCTTACAAACTGGCATCTCAGATTTCTTTTTCAGGAAAAGGTAATGTCTTGGGACACAATTATAAAAAGGACTTCACCTGACAAATGCAAACAGGGTGACCTAATTCTTTTTTTTGAGACAGAGCCTCAAGCTGTCCCTCTGGGTAGAGTGCAGTGGCATCGTAGTTCACAGCAACCTCCAACTCCTGGGCTCAAGCGAGTCTCCTGCCTCAGCCTCCCAAGTAGCTGGGACCACAGGTACCCACCACAATGCCTGGCTATTTTTTGGTTGCAGCCATGATTGTTGTTTGGTGGGCCCAGGCTGGAATCGAACCCGCCACCTTAGGTGTATGTGGCTGGTGCCTTAGCCACTTGAGCCACAGGTGCTGAGCCAGGGTGACCTAATTCTTTGTACCCTCAATGAATCCAAAACAATAAATAAAAATAAAGAAATAAGGCTCAGCACCTTTAGCTCAAGCAGCTAAGTTGCCAGCCACATACACCTGAGCTGGCGAGTTTGAATCCAGCCCGGGCCCACCAAACAACAATGACAACTATAACCAAAAAATAGCCAGGCATTGTGGTGGGTGCCTGTAGTCTCAGCTACTTGGGAGGCTGAGGCAAGAGAATCACTTAAGCCTAGGAGTTGCTATGAGCTGTGATGCCACAGCACTCTACCCAGGGTGACAGCTTGAGGCTTTGTCTCAGAAAAATAAAATAAAATAAAGAAATAATAAAATTATTAAAAAAGAATATCCTGCAAATAATCAAGCCATTAACATAAGAATCCTTTGCCCAAATGATAGTAACACCAATCGAGGCAGCGTGACTGAAAAACTCTTGTCTAAAACTGTTGACATAAATGAGCAGAAAGGAAACCTAGCTACAGAAATTTGAAATTCATGTTTGTGCCATGAGTTTTTTTAGCTATTAATTTAGTAAAAACTAATATGCATTAAGTTAACTTATATTTATCTGCATATTCCCTGCAGCACACCTGATTTAACTCATTGGGTAAAGTATACCAGCTCAGTTCGCTTTTGGTTGTCAGATTTGTCTTTCTGTAGCTTTTTAGCATTTTTTCTTGGAGAGAGGGGAAAATGGGGGTGGGGAGAGAGAAAAGGAATGAGAGAATGGCATGGCATCTCAAAAGAAAGCAAGGGAGAATGGCCACCACTTTCTAGTTTTTTAAAAAAAGATTTTCTTACATTTGTTTATCAAATATTAATTGCATATCTGTTATTCAGTGACTCTGGAAGAAATGAATGCAACTGACCTTAGCCCACAGCAGCTTCTGTAGACCCAGAAGTAACTGCACAAGTGTAGGCCAGGTGTGGAGATGAACAGTGTCGCTAATGAGGACTGTTGGGATTCAGTGATGAGTTATACAGTATATTGAATAGAACAACTGGAAAGAATCGCATGTGAGCTGGAGAGACTTGAAGGAAATCTAGTGAATGAGTCCCATTTGGCCCGGAGCGAAAACCTTTTTTGCAAGTTCAACAAATATTTCTTGAAGGCCTTTTACAAGTACATAGTAGGCCCTAGGCTAAATTCTTCAGCATAAGATGACAGAGGAGAAGCCTGCATACACTCAACAGAGTACACCTCTGATCCACAGCAGCCAGGATGCCCACGCAGGTGTTAGACACAGGATGTTAGTACAGGATGCCTGTCTTGAGGGTGTATGTGTGACGTGTTTTGCAGGGTATATGTGCTGCCCTTTCGTTCTGGACAAAGATGGAGTCAGCGCCGCTGTCATCAGCGCGGAGTTGGCCAGCTTTCTAGCAACCAAGAATTTGTCTTTGTCTCAGCAGCTGAAGGCCATCTATATGGAGTAAGTTGCTATTGACTCTTTGATTGAAGGGATATTTTTAAATGTTTTATTATGTTCTTGTGCATAAGGTACTAATATGCTTTTACTTTGGTGATGAATTTTGTTTCTTTTGAAGACTAAGAGATCACCCCTTCCTTCTAATCACTACTTAATAGTGATTACCATTTGCAGTTGCATTAATTCTTAACAAGTGGGAATATTAGTTGCAGAAATGACTAATTGAAGAATGTGATTTTAAGTGTTTAATATGAAAAAAATGCAGTGTATTTGTAATGTATCTACTCAGTCTTTGTAGCGTCACTTAGACTTGCCTGTGTAACACAAACGCCTCCAGAGACTACAAAAATCAGTAAGTGTGGCTCAGCTCCTGTGGCTCAAGTGGCTAAGACGCCAGCCACATACACCCAAGGTGGTGGGTTCAAATCCAGCCCGGGCCCGCCAAACAACAATGATAGCTGCAACCAAAAAATAGCCGGGCGTTGTGGCGGGAGCCTGTAGTCCCAGCTACTTGGGAGGCAGAGGCAGGAGACTCGCTTGAGCCCAGGAGTTGGAGGTTGCTGTGAGCAGTGAAGCCATGGCACTCTACCCAGGGGACAGCTTGAGGCTCTGTCTCAAAAAAAAAAAAAAAAAAAAAAAAAATCAGTAAGTGTGATGGGGCTGTGTTCCAGTAAAACTTTAATTTACAAATGCAGGCACAAGTCTGGGCTATCATTTTGTGAACCAGGCGTAGATTGTTGGACCTCTTTTTTTGATGCTGACTTATTCCTTTGAAGTTATGATTATTTGTTTCATTTATTTTAGAATACACTGGTCAATACACATGTCCTGGGTTCATTCTCTGGAATTATTTTTTCCTAATGCTGCACAAATTTGTGTTTTTTTTTAAATAGGTATGGCTACCATATTACCAAAGCTTCCTATTTTATCTGCCATGATCAAGACATCATTAAAAAATTATTTGATAACCTCAGAAACTATGACGGAAAAAACAATTATCCAAAAACTTGTGGCAAATTTGGTATTTCTGCCATCAGGGACCTTACCACTGGCTATGATGACAGCCAGCCTGATAAAAAAGCTGTAAGTAATGTTTATTCTTTTCAGCTGAGCTCTTTTTCTGTTGCCCTTTTTAAAAATAATTTGAATAAGTTGACTTATTTAATTGTCTAATTACTTGAAGCAGATTTTAGGCACTTAGGCATGATGATAAATAAGCTATAAACACATAGAAGGTGGGAGGCGTCTATGGCTCAAAGTAGTAGGGCGCTGGCCCCATATACCGCAGGTGGCGGGTTCAAGCCTGGCCCCAGCCAAAAACTTCAAAAAAAAAGAAGAGAAAGAAATCCATGGAAGGGCCAGGTGTGGGGGCTCAGACCTGTAATTCCTACACTCTGGGAGGCCAAGGTGGGTTGATCTCACTTGAGCTCAGGAGTTTAAGACCAGCTTAAGCAAGAGCCCATCTCTACTAAAAATAGAAAAGCTAGCCAGACATGGTGGCAGGTGCCTGTAGTCCCAGCTACTCGGGAGGCTGAGGCAAGAAGACCTACTGAGCCCAAGAATTTGAGGTTGCTGTAGGCTATATAGTCATAGTAATCTACCCAGAACAACCGAGTAAGACCCTATGTCAAAAAAGGGAAAAAAAAAAAATATATATATATATATATACATATATGTATGTATGTATGTATGTGTGTGTGTGTGTATGTGCATGGAAAGTTAAAAATCGTGGGCAGGAACTAAAAGAGATGTTACTAGTTATCTAAGCCAACACTGTCATTTAACACCTTGGGAAATTAGTACACAGAAGTGCAGAACTTGTCTGTCTGTGTTCCCACAGCATGCTGGTGATGGTCCAAAAAGAATCTGGGTTTTTTGACACAGAGTCCAGCTTTTTCTCCATGTCAGCAGTTCTCACCGTGGAGTGAGCATGTCACCTAGAAGCTGGTTCCAGCAGACGGCTGGCACCCAGCCCAGGAGATTCTGATTGAGCAGGGCTGGGTGGGTGCCAAGCATTTGCATTTCTGACAAGTTCCCAAGTGCTGCTGCTACAGCTGGTCCTCACTTTGAGAACCTATTGGGTGGCTCACTCCTGTAATCACAGCACTCTGGGAGGCTGAAGGTGGATCCCTTGAGCTTAGGAGTTTGAGACCAGCATGAGCTAGAGCAAGACCCAGTCTCTACCAAAAATAGAAAAACTAGCGGAGCATTGTGTTGGGAGCCTATAGTCCAGCTACTTGGGAGGCTGAGGCAAGAGGATCGCTTGAACCCAAGAGTTGTAGGTTGCTGTAAGTATGAGGCCACGGCACTCTACCCAGGGCTGCAGAGACTGTCCCCCATCCCCCACCCCCAGAAAAAGAGAGAACCTGTTTGCTTTCTAGTTAGTTTTACCCCAGGAGTGTCCAACTTGTGGTCCTTAAGGCCACACGTAGGTTATTTGAAGCCTATTTTGTTTATCTGTAGTGTCCAATGTTGTAAAAAGTATGCGTGGACCTTTTTTCTTTGTTTATCAGCTTTCTTTAGTGTTTGTGTATTTAACGTGTTGTGCAAGAAAACTCTTATGCTTCCAATGTGTAGCAAAAAAAACCACTTAGAATCTACCCTCCCAGCAATGTTTAAGTGTATGATACATTGTTATTAACTATGTTACTGTGTAGTACAATAGACCTCTTGAACTTATTCCTCCTAATTTATCAAACTGAAACTTTGTATCCTTTAACCAACATCTCCCCAGTTTCTCCCCCCACCACCTCGTCCCCCAACCCGGAGCCCCTGCTAACCACCATTCTTTTTTATATTCCACAATGTATGATTAAATCATGTGGTATTTGCTTTTCTGTGCTTGGCTTAATCACTTGCCTTAATGTCCTCTTGGTTTATCTGTGGTGTCATAAATGATAGGATTGCACCTTCTTTAAGGCTGAATAGTATTTCATTTGGCTCATTTACCACATTTTCATAAATGGTTATTATCATTTGGTATTTCATTCATATGGAGTACATATGATTTTCTGATTTCCCAAAAAATGTTCTTCTTTTCTAACCAATATATTTGTTTGGCATTTGTTTTCCCTTTTATGCCAGGGGAAAATATTGGTTAGGCCAGAAGACTATATGTTACTGTTTAAATTTATAATATGTATAAATTCCTAGGTTCTTCCTACTAGTAAAAGCAGCCAGATGATCACCTTTACCTTTGCTAATGGAGGTGTGGCCACCATGCGAACCAGCGGGACAGAGCCCAAAATCAAATACTATGCGGAACTGTGTGCCCCTCCTGGAAACAGGTATGACATGGGTGGCAGCTGGCCTGATTTGTATTCCTCAAATGTTCTAACTGGTTATTCAAATGCTAAGTAAAATGTTTCATCTTTCCACTATATAGTTTAATTAGAAATACTGTTTCAGAACCTGTGACAATACTGTAGTGTTAACAGCTGCTGTGAGCGTACAGTGGTAAGAGGGCTTACTTCTTCATTACTTCTGTCCTAACTTTCTTTGAAATTCCTAAGTTTAGTAAGAGTAATACTTTTCACTGGTGGCTAGCATCAGTGAGGTTTTCTCTTTTTCTCAAACTGCAGGCTTTCTGTGTCTCTAATAAAGTAAATTAAAATCCATTCCACATGCATTCAGCAAGTATCTTTGAGCCCCCATTGTAAAAAGGCTGTGTGAAGTCCCAGGGAGTATAAGGGATCTCATTGGAAACAATCCTTGCTGCCAAAGAGCCATGGGCTAGGAGCTTCAAGTCACATTTCTGTGACCTTGGTAAAGAGTCTGAGTTGGGGGTGGCACCTGTGGCCCAGTGGGTAGAGTGCCGGCCCCACATACTGGAGGTGGTGGGTTCAAACCCAGCCCCGACCAAAAACTGCAAATTAATTAATTAAATTAAATTAAATTAAACAAACAAAAAAAAGAGTCTGAGTTGGGGGTGGTGCCTGTGGCTCAGTGGGTAGGGTGTCGGCCCTATATACCGAGGGTGGCAAGTTTGAACTCAGCCCTGGCCAAACTGCAACAAAAAAATAGCTGGGTATTGTGGTGGGCGCCTGTAGTTCCAGCTACTTGGGTGGCTGAGGCAAGAGAATTGCCTAAAGGAGTTGGAGGTTGCTGTGAGCTGTGATGCCCTAGCACTCTACTGAGGGCGAGAAAGTGATACTCTGTCTCTAAAAAAAAAGAGTTCGAGTTGGTCACTCTCCAGCAACCTTAACATTTTAAACTTTCACAGCCTCAGTCCATATACTTAGCACCTGTAAATATGACATTGCACCCCTGTCTGAAAATATCTAATGCTCAGTTAATCAACACTTCCCTATTCAGAATACAGGTGGAAATCAGAAAAAGAATTGTTTTTAAAGGTGAATTAAATCAGTGCTGTCCAAGAGAAAATGGAAGCCACAAAATTTTCTACTTGTCATAGTTTAAGAGTGAAAAGAAACAGGTGAAATTAGTTTCAATAATATATATTATTAACCTAGTTTATCTAAAATATTACATGTAACCGTGTAAAAGATTATTTTTATTGTTATTATTATTTTTTTGACAGTCTCACTATGTCACCTTTGGTAGAGTGCTGTGGCGTCACAGCTCACAGCAACCTCAAACTCTTGGGCTTAAGAGATTCTCTTGCCTCAGCCTGCCAAGTAGCTAGGACTACAGGTACCTATCACAACACCCTGCTATTTTTTTTTATTGCAGTTGTCATTGTTGTTTAGCTGGTGTGGGCCAGGTTTGAACCCCCCAACATTAGTGTATGTGGCTGGTGCCATAACCACTGTGCTATGGCGCCAAGCCAAGGTAAAAGATTATTAATGAGGTATTTTAATTCTTTGTTGGCTTGGCGCCTGTGGCTCAAGTGGCTAAGGCGCCAGCCACATAAACCTAAGGTGGTGGGTTCGAATCCAGCCCAGGCCTACCAAACAACAATGATGGCTGCAACCAAAAAATAGCTGGGCGTTGTGGCGGGCACCTGTGGTCCCAGCTACTTGGGAGGTGAAGGCAGGAGACTCACTTGAGCCCAGGAGTTGGAGGTTGCTGTGAGCTGCGTTGCCACAGCACTCTACCCATGAGGACAGCTTGAGGCTCTGTCTCAAAAAAAAAAAAAAAAAATTCTTTGTTTTCCACAGAAAAACAAACAGACTTCTAAGTCCCCCCAGATCCATTTCATATTTTATACTTACAGGATTTCTCAGTTTGAATGCTAAATTTTTATTAGAAATACTTGACTGTATTTAGAGTTTATAAAATTTTGAGTAGAAAAAAGGTTTTGTTACCCAAGGTGTTCCAAACACTTAACACTTAAGTTTCCCAATAACTGAATCAAGTGTCAGTTTTTAAAATTTGAATTTTAATGAACTAAACATTAACACAATTTAAAATTTATTTCCTCAGTACCACTAGCCACACTTCAAGTACTCGGTAGTGGCTAATGGTTGCTGCAACAGACAGCTCCAGTCTAGGTAATTGTGACAACATAGAAAGACAAAAGCTTTGCTCATAGAGAAGATTTTCCAGGCCAGGAGCAGTGGCTCATGCCTTTAACTCTAGCACTTTGGGAGTCTGAGATGGGAGAATTTTGAGCCCAGGAGTTTGAGACAACCTGGGCAATATAGAGATACTACATGTCTTAAAAAAAAGAATAATAATTTAAAAAATCAGCCAGGCATGGTAGTGTAGTCTTAGCTATTTGGGAGGCTAAGGTGGGAGGATTGCCTGAGCCCAGCCATTTGAGGTTGCAATAAGCTATGATCATACCTCTGAACTCCAGCCTGGATGACACAGTGAGACCTCATCTCTAAAATAAATTATTTTAAATGAAAGCAAAGTTTTTCCAGACTTGTGAACCGAATTTTGAATTATCTGGTTATAAATGTAGAGGAACTGCTAAACTAGTAGCTGATTAAGTGGAGCAAATTAGAGGAAGAGGGAAAGAACTAACAGTTAGGCAAGGAGAGATGACTGCTGAGAGCAAAGAAGGAAACACAGAGCAAGCCAAAACTAAACCTGGACATAGGACACTCACCAGGCCAGGAGTTTATCCTGAGGGAAACAGCATTCCACACCCAAATAATGTGCCCTGAGGCTCAGCGCCTGTGGCTCAAGTGGCTCTGGCGCCAGCCACATACACCTAAGGTGGCACGTTTAAATCCATCCTGGCCCGCCAAACAACAATGACGGCTGCAACCAAAAAATAGCCGGGCGTTGTGGCGGGTGCCTGTGGTCCCAGCTACTTGGGAGG